CAGGGGCCTATTTCGACGGAATCTCCTTCTTTTTGTGAGACGGGATAGTCCTGATCATATATGTATGTAATTTTTCACCCCTCTTCAGGAATAACTGCAGAATTTTTCATTGAAATTTGGTTCTGGAATATTAGCTCAAGTCTATTTTTGTTTATATTTTGACAAATATATTCCCCACCTCTTGTAATGTTGTTTCAGATCATTTATATGAAAGGAAAAAGTACTAAGATGTATGTGTGTTCTGTTGCAGCTTTACAGCTCATTCAAGTGCTCCAGTCTGGTTTTTGATTCTACTTCATCCTTCAATATTCTACTTCATCTTTAAAAGTAAGATTAAATAGAGTTTTAAACTTGATTTAGCCAACTATTTAGTCAAATACTGACAATGATCCTCACTTCAGCTTTAACATGTAATAAATGTGCAATGTCAAAAGATTCATATCAATATTTAAGGTTACATTTTTACAAACCTATTTTTACATCCTACATTTAACAGTAATCTTTGCTATGAGATGTCATGAAATTTGTATGAAAATGTGCTTGTGTGATTACAGGTGCTGTAAGAAAAAGTCAACACGGATACTTGTTACTTATTTCAATGTTTTTGTTTTTCACTCTTGTCCTAAGGTTATCATAGTCAGCCGGATCCGGTCCGTATCCAGACCAGATGATGGGCCTGCACCCGGAGACGACCAAAATTCAGCCCTGAATGTCAGCGAAGACCACGACAAGTGAACATCACGACTGGACAGCCATCGGCACAGATCTTCAGCAAAGACCATGAGAAACAGACAAGTCCTCTATACAGACCCCTATGGCCAGCAATGAATGTGTCAGTCCAGGAGCTGCTAGGACCACAATGCAGCTTTATCATATTTATAGTCACTGTTAAACCAGTCGTCCACTACTGGCTAAACGGCAGCCCTGCTGGACAGACTACAACTTCTCCTCCTACCAAATGACAGTGTGACGTATCCTGATCTTCAAGCAGTAGGAGCTGGGGCCTGTTTCATAAAAGACGCTAAGAAAAGTGGGGATTAAAGTCCAAAACCTGACTTTAAGTAACCTAACAAATCAATCAGGACTAAAGCGGTTTCATAAACGAATTCACGCAATCTCACTAATTCGATCCAGGTTCAATGAGTCAGGATAATTTGATGTGCACGCTTATTCTTAAGCAGCCCTTAATGTCGATCATGGATCAAATCGATGCACCATGACAAACAGCTAATATGTTTGCTGTTTAATGCATTTGAGACGTTGTGTTTTCCTCAGTGCATAACTGACACGTCACAGGTATTATATTTCATCTGTAAATTTTAGAAAGTCATGCAAATATATCCATTTTGCTGTCAGGAGTGGGCGAGGCTTACGTGAGTGATGCGCATGCGCGCTAAACAGACTGAATAAAATAATTCTCAATAAAATATGCATTCTCCTAAAATATTTGTTGTTGGACATTAAATGTGACACATATAGAATTTTAATCCTACATGGAAGTGTATTTTTATGATAGCAGTAACTAAATTTTAATCAATAGAGTTTTCACCCCTTCAAGAGTGAATGCTGCATCTTTTTCAATTGACAAAGCAGTAACTGTAAATCAAGCTAGCTAATACAGCCCTAATTACTAGCTCAAATGAGTTAATATGTATTCCTCTTATCATATAAAATATAGTCTGTTTTATATTATTTATTTACATTTTTAATTTAGTGTTTTTAATGCTTTAAATAGCAATTGTGTATTGTAATGTTTTAATGTTCTACTAATAAACATAAAGTACTGCTGTCATAAAACCAGAGAGAAAGGCTGCATGGCTAGAAACTGCTGATCAACTGAATGCGCATGTAGCAGCATGTTCAAATGTTTTTAAATATCTTAAAACAAAGTCATTAAATCAGTCGGTTGCAGCCTATATTTTTATTTATTTAAGTTGCATTTTCTGTATACTTTTATTTTTGGACAGATCACTCAAATGTGAGAGAGTCAGCATTGTAATATCAATGCGTTCCTATCGGTCAGTGTTAGAGGAGCTCAGCTTAGCCTGCTCCAGACCAGGTTAGTTTCCCAGCATAAGTTGCCACAGTGACTGAGCTTGAGCTATGCTAGTTTTGCTTTATGAAACCAAATCAAGTGAAAATAAGTCAGACTAACTGAAATAAGCCTGGCTTATGAAATATGATGATTAACATCAGTCCACAATCAGGCTATAGTGATGCAGCCTGAAATCATAATCACGCCATCTTTGTTAATTTAGCCAGAAGAGAGCTGAGCTGACTGCTCCTGGTTTCTCCCAAGCTGTTTTTTCTTCATTTCAGTCACCTGCTGGAGTTTGGGTTCCTCTTGCTTAGCCGGGGTTTTAAAAAACACTGAATATTCAGAAATAATATTGATTTGATTGTACTGACACTATTGCATAATGACAAAACTTGAACTGAATTGAGCTGAATCATGATATCACTGTTTTGTCCAGAGCTGCTTTATTGCTGAATCGACTTTGTTTCATAATGTATTAATTTTGCAACATTTTCACTGATATTGAATCTTATTAAATCAACATCAAGCTGAGACAAAGTGAATAATAACTTGTGTGCTATACAATTCCTTATAGCTGAATTGAACTAATTCATTCGTAAAGATTAACTTTACAAAGTTATTGAACTGAATTGTCTTTTTAGAGGTAAAGTTTTTCATTAAATAAAACAATGTTTTTGTACAACTTGTGGTTGCATTTTATTTTTCTTCATGTAATTACCTACTTTTTATAGAGTGTTTCATTGTTATATGCTCCGGAGTCATTTTGCTATCTGGGTTTGATAAAGCGTTGATTTAATCCGGTTCGATTTTCTTGTTTTTAGGTTCGGGGTAGACAATGGATTAACAGCCTTAACCCGTTTAATCCCACAGGTCACAATAGTGACCGTGAAGGTTTTCATTTATAAAGCTCTAAAATGTTACTGACTGGCGTTTTAGTGCATTTCCTGCAAATATGGTAATTTTAATTTTTACTTTTAATTATTTAATTGATTTAATGATTAAATGAGTGAAAAGCAAATGCTTTCCCAGATAGCAGACGCACATATGCAAGATGTCTGATAAAGATCTCTTCATCTGGAAAGCATCTGCTGTGTACAAACATCTGATAGACGTCTTTAAGATGTCAGTTTTAAATCATAAACATCTTACAGACATCTTCTAAACGTCTATTTGACATCTGATAGGAAACGTCCTATAGACGTATTGCAGATGAGCAAACACTCAAAAAAATACTTCTTCCAGATGTAAATACAGACGTCAAACAGTACGTGTGCTATCAGTGTTTAGTTTGGGAAATCCAGATCTAAAGATGGAAATGTAAAAAAAAAGAAAAAAAAGAAAAGAATGAAATCTTCATTTTGCAACCGACTTGACAGCTGCACATTCGAGGGCGGAGTCTGTAGCTATCAGGGAACTACATGAAATATATTTCATTTATGTACTGAGAAGCATTCTCCTGTAGTCTACTATATTGGTTATTCTGGGCTCTGGATGAAATATACCCCTAAATCCAGGGAAGGGAGTTCACTTCTCGAATCACATGGAGCATGCAGAACTCCAATACAACACGTGAGTCATTAAACTATTATATATTGCATTTATATATTATGTTAATTTGTAAAAAGTAGACAAATAAGTAGAGTGAAGTTTAAAGTATTTGGGTACAAAATATATGTTGTTTATTGTATCTACAATCATTAAATATTACTTCTGTAACAGTAACAGGTTAATTAACTGTTAAGAAAGCTACTTGGGGGGATCACAGCAATTCTGAATGGGTTGTCTTGTGTTATGTTGTGTAGCGGTGTTGTGTTTTATAGTAATAATAATAATCAGTGTTGAGTGACTTTTAATGAATCAACGCTATTCACATAACACGAAAACCAAGCATCCTCAATGATGTCCTCTACTTTTAAATTATTACAAATAAACACTATTATCCATAAATTCAACTGATACAAATACCACAGGCTTTTAAAAGCACCTTCTTGTCGGTTTTCATTATAACCGCCCTGTGGTTGTGCATTCAGCTCTTTAGCTTCACTCATTGGGTTCATAGGGATGGACGCTGATATGGGTTTTCCTCTCTCTGTTGAGGAGACCCGACCAGAAGCAGTCCAGAGTTCAGTGTGTCCGTGTCCATTCACTCACAGAAGATGATGAGGAAGATGATGCCTGATGAAGAGGAGCGGCTTGGGGGGTCAAGAGATAAAACGATGTACTGGAGATTCACATTTTCTTGACTTTGTATGAAATGGGTTCTGCGGTCACTCCTTAAAAGGGTGGGTAACAAATTAAGATTTAATTCTTCTTTTTTTTTTACATTTCCATCTTTAGATCTGGATTTCCCAAACTAAAGCATGTGCTTTTACATTTCAAATTAAGCAGTTATTAAAAAAGGTTTGTTTTCTTGTTTACCTGCATGTCACATGACTATTCAGGCGACATCAGAAAACGCTGAACCTATGTGATGTTAAATTATTGAAATATGAACTTATTATGAACTTAATATGAAATCGCAAGGGGACTTCAAGGGGAAAAAAATTGATCAAGCGGTCTGACTAACAACAACAAAAAAATCACTATGTACTAGAATGGTTTATTTTAAACCAAAGAACAACCAAGAGCAAGTCAATGCAGAAAATGTGTGAGTGCAAGAGTTTAATTACCAAACAGCTATGCATTTCCATAAGTGTGCGCTCTGATACCAGTCATTACGGTGTGTTTAATATTTATAAGCCTTTGCTTATGAATATTAAATACAATTGTTGATGATTCTGAATGCACTTGATTGTTAAACGCCACAGTAGTTAATATTCATGAGCGTACCATGGTTGTTATGGCAACCTCAAATCGCAGAGCGCTGTGAAGCAAGTAGCGTCCTGACGCAGGGGGCGGAGCCTGTCTCTGAATCCTATTAATATTCACGAAGCTCTACTAGTAGCAGTGCGTTCGTGTATTCACAAAGCGCGTGCGCTCTGACACCGCTCGTTACGGTATCGCATGTGTGTCCGGAAGAGTGCGGCTCGACGGGTCGGTGTTGGATGCTCGTCGGTTCGAGGGGCGATGGGTCTGATCGCTCGCGTCCGTAAAGAATGGTTTATCATCGGTATAGTGCTGGTCATCACGTGCGCCAAGCTCGCGCCGTCCGTGGGAGTGAAAGGAGGTGAGAATGACCGGACGCATTTCTGGACAGCTGAAGTCTATAAAAACTTTAAAATCAGTTAATGCACCGGTAATAAAGCATTATGGTCTGATCAACGTTAGGAAAGGATCAGGATGACTCGTATGCATGAATATGACACAACAAGGGAGTGATCAATGATTGATTGCATGCATGCATGTGCATTGACATAAAGTGCAAGTAGTTATGATGTGAGATGGGGTTAAATGTCTCTATCTAAATGCATGTGTTCATGATCATGCAGTGTTTTAATCGCTGTGGTTTGTGTGGCAACAGGTTGATGGGTGTTTTAAATAGTGGATAGTTTAAAACGCCTTGAAGTTTGAAGGTTATATAGTCATAGATAGATAGATAGATAGAAATGGGATTTGGGTTTAAAATAGTTGTAAGTTGGATTGATCAGGTATGTTATAGCAAAAATCATTAGTATGCTTGTTTTCCACCAATATGAATTTCTAATATAGAAAATCATCACTATATATCAGTTGGATTTTTTACTTTAGAAATCCCCTTACAAAACATTATATTGAGGGTACCGTGATACACATGTGTATAATATGATACTGAATAACTACCGTGGTTATATACTATAGTATTTATATTGTACGCCTATGAGAAATTGAAGAAAACCATGCTTAACTGTCCAAACTGCCATGCTATTACGCTAGTGCCATTATCCTAGTGTCCCAAAATATGTTAATACCATTTTATGTGCGTAATACCTCATGCTATTATTTCCCCATGATCATTAATCTGTTCTCTTTCAGGTCCTCTTCGGCCGGAGATCACCATCACCTATGTTGCAGTATCTGTTATTTTCTTTAACAGTGGCTTGTCTTTGAAAACAGAGGTATGATGGTGCCTGTTTGGTTTTTGGTTATAGATTTTTAATAAACTAATGTCTGTTTTGCTCTGTTTTCAGGAGCTAGCAAGTGCATTAATGCATGTAAAGTTGCATTTCTTCGTCCAGACATTCACGCTAGTATTTTTCCCCATCGCCATTTGGCTCCTTCTCAAAGTTCTGGCCCTAACGGCGATCAACGAGTGGCTTCTCAGAGGGTGAGTGCACGTATTTTCAGTCCTTTTCTTATACACAGTCACCCTGTCTACCTGTTCGCCGCTCGGCTGAATGGAGTCTCTGTCGGTAGGTTTGCGCTGAGTGTAACTGGATCTCAGAGGTCTTCAGTGTTGGCGCTTTTGGTTATTTTCCTGCAAGAGAGTCGTTGTGTTCACCTGCAACCTCCACACGTCCTTTCATAGACAGAAAAGACTTTCATGTTTCTATAACATTTAAGATTATGAGCTACTACAGCACAACCATTAGCTGAAATGTCCTGAAGTGACTCAGGGTAGTTATAGTAGAGCGTTGCTTGCTCCTGTCTGGAAATACGGTGGGAAACAGTGAAACAAATGCGATTTAAATGCAAAGTTATATGTTATTATTTATTAACTTCTCTCTCTCTCAGGTTGCAGACGGTTGCTTGTATGCCTCCTCCTGTTTCCTCTGCTGTCATCCTAACTAAAGCTGTAGGAGGAAATGAGGTAAATAATAATACATCATAAAAACTTTACAAGCAGACCTCACTATAAAATCATGATAATTTGTATAATATATCGGAAAAATAATAACTTTCCAACAGAACAATAACACAATTTGGTGTAATATATAATAAATAAGCCCCTTTATAAATAAAACTTTACAAAGTCACATTTTTCATAACAATGATCACAACATCACAAGCTTGCACCCATCACAACAACTTTAACAACACATTCATCTCAGTTTTACAATCACATTTCATCTCAACAATCACAACTTTACAAACACATTCATCTCAAATTTTCCAATCACATTCCATCACAACAATCACAACTTTACAAACAATCACATTCCATCACAACTTTACAAACAATCACATTCCATCACAACAATCACAACTTTACAAATACATTCCTCCATATGGGTAACTACTTTTAAAAAACACTCAATCACAACTATCACAACTTTACAAATGCATTTCATCACAATGATCATATCTTTACAAGTTTGCACCTACTGCAACATTCAAAACACACTCCATCACAACATTCACAACTTTACAAGCACATTCATCTCAAATTTTCCAATCACATTCCATCACAACAATCACAACTTTACAAACACATTAATCTCAAATTTTCCAATCACATTCCATCACAACAATCACAAATTTACAAACAATCACATTCCATCACAACAATCACAACTTTACAAACAATCACATTACATTCATCTCAAATTTTTCAATCACATTCCATCAAAACAATCACAACTTTACAAACACATTAATCTCAAATTTTCCAATCACATTCCATCACAACAATCACAAATTTACAAACAATCACATTCCATCACAACAATCACAACTTTACAAACAATCACATTACATCACAACAATCACAACTTTACAAATACATTCCTCCATATGGGTAACTACTTTACAAAAACACTCAGTCACAACTATCACAACTTTACAAATGCATTTCATCATAATGATCATACTTTGCAAGTTTCCACCTACTGCAACTTTAAAAACACACTCCATCACAATAATCACAACTTTACAAATACATTCCATAACAACAATCACAGCTTTACAAATACATTCCCCTATGTAAGTAACAACTTTAAAAATGAATTTCATCAAAACTTTACACACAGACCTCACCACAAAATCATGATTATTGTTATGATCACACTTTGTTATAGAAATCATTACTTTCCAACAGCACAATCACAAAATTTGGTGTATAATAATAAGTAAAACCCTAGAATTAAATGCCTTTCATCAAAATCATCACAGCTTTACAAGCTCACTCCCATCACAACTTTAAAGAAACACCTAATAACAACAATCACAACTTTACAAACCCGTTCCATTACAGCAATCACAACTTTACAAATACATTCCACCATAAGGGTAACATGTTTCAAAAACACTCAATCACATCTATCACATCTTTGCATATGTATTTCATCAAAACTTTACAAACAGACCACCGCAAAACTGTTACAATCACTGCTATAATCACACTTTGTTATACAAATCATAACTTTACAACCAGTTGAATGTATATGTTTATGTATTCAGTGTATATATTCTTTCTTCAGGCTGCAGCCATTTTCAATTCTGCATTTGGGAGTTTTCTGGTAAGTCTGATAACAGAGACATAAAAAAGGGAGG